ACTTTACAAAAGGGGTGGGAGAAAGTTTGGCAAAAACTAGGCTGCTAATCCGTTCAAATTCTTTAAGCCACATTTACCAGACTTTCCCCTACCCCCTTCATCAAGGATATGATGCTTTTGTTGGTGGGTGGCTGACTAAGCTAGTAATTTCTAAGGCTATTGTCCACCTAGTGTAGTCCAGAATCTCCTTCTTAGGAAAAGTGGTAAAAAATATATAGTAAAATAGAGATTTGATAAACCCCTCTGAGAGATAAAAAAAAATTAAACCTTACCTTACAAGAAGCAGCTCTGAAATTATAGCACACCGTTTAATTGTTTGGGATTCTGTTGTATAATATTTTAGTGTTTGGGACTAGGATAAATTTAATATTATTGGTGGGTTACTCTGCAGTACCGGAATTACGCGCTATCCCCCATTGCTTCCGGCACCACGGCAGTAGCGAATCTTTCTACATAGACTCAACTGGTCGGAGCCGCATGTGTGGTGATTCGGTTTGAGATATACGAGAGTTCAGAAGGCACGATAGTAGTAGTCAGGGTCAAACCTTGGTGGTCTGGATTGGAATTGGATTGGCTGTGGTCACCAGAAACTATACCATGATGTCCTAATGAGGGTGGTGCTGTAGTCTATTATGTTTGATTTGATGGGATTTACAAAACAAAGCCCCAACCCAACATCAAAGATAAATTAAGTATTGATTTAAGAGGGGGTAGAAAAAAAACTGGGATATGGTTCCGGCAGTCTAGATAACACCACGGTCGATGCAACGGGGGATGCAACAGGGGACGCAACAGGGACGCCTTGGCATAAAATTTAGTATTAATAAGCTGCCACCAAATTCAATCTATGCTGATATCATACTAAATTTTATGGAAAGGCATCCCTGTTGCTTCCCCTGTTGCATCCCCGTTGCATCGACCGAGGTGTTATCTAGACTGCCGGAACCATATCCCAGTTTTTTCTTCTATTGTAAGTTGAAGGCTTCAAAGCACTCTCTGGGAATAGTAGAATCTAAGAGAAGGGGTGTGCAAATACATCTCGCATATCTACGGCTTCTGGACATAGGTTATCTCAGGAATTCCAAACAACCCGAGAAAAAAGCATTTGGTACCTTAAGAAACAAGAAAAGGGGAAAAATATATATATATATATATATGGAACGGGAAAAAGTGACATGTCGGGTGCCGTGAAAAATTGAGTTACGGTACAGAATTTATTACTGTGGGGAAAAAAACCACCCCCACCTCCGCCGCACACCCCTGAAAACGACTGGGTCTCATAGCTAGGAAGCAGTAGTGGTCAACTAAAATAGGCTCGGGGGGTGGGGTTTAGGAAGAGCAGAAAGGAAGGGCGGGGGTGGAGGTGTCCGAAGATAGTAACCTACACCCGGTAGCTGAAAGGGCTCCAAAGAGAGGGCAGGAGCTGCACTCATAACAGGTATGATATATGCATGGTTAAGGATGCGGTTGCGAAAGGGGTGTAGGTGGGTGTGCAGAGTGAAGACGTGGGAAAATGTGTCTTTGAGCTTAATCCATACTAGAGGTTGGGGTTGCCCGAGACTGGAGGAGCGCTACAATCCCCGTATACCCGTGTATGGAAGCGATCAGGAGTGGTGTTTGGCAATTGCTGTCAGGCCTGTCGGGATTGACGTCGCCTCGTGTGAGCAGTAGTATTGTCGCCTCGTGTGAGCAGTAGTATTGTCGCCTCGTGTGAGCAGTAGTATTGCCGTGCTCTCATGCCCACGAAGTGAAGCCCGCCAGAGCGGCGTTCGGCCACTATTATCTGGCTTGTCGGGGCTGACGTCGCTACGTGCGAGCAAAAGTCTCACAACTCCCTCATGCCCATTCCCAGAAGCCCACCAGAGCGGTGTTCGGCCATCATTGTCTGGCTTGTCGGGGTTAACGTCGTGTCGTGTTAGTAGTAGTCTTACACTTCCCTCATGACCGCAGTAAGCGGCCCGCCAGAGCGGTGTTCGGCCGTTATTGTCCGGCTCGTTGGGCTTGACATCACGGCGTGTAAGCAGTAATCCCGCCACCCCCGTATGGCCATTTCCAGAAGCCCACCAGAGTGGTGTTCGGCCATGTTTATCTGGCTTGTCTGGGTTGACACCGTCGCGGGTAAGCAGCAGCCTCACCACCTCCTCGTGCCC